AATTTACATTTTACATTAACAGTTCGGAGTCAGCGAGGTTTGGGGAGGTTAGGGTTTTGGAGAAGTGTTTTTTGGAGAGAGAGATGAAATGGGTGATCTGTATGGACGGGGCAATGGGTTTAGTTCTGAGTTTTTGAATTCTGCTTCAAAACTCTTGCAGGTTTGATGATCTTCACACTCTTCTCTTTCTTCTTTTTCTTTTTTTTTCCTTTTGATTGCCTGAATTATTGGTGGAAGTTGCACGTTGATGGATAAATTTGATCTGTTTGGTTGCCAAGAAAAGAAAACAGAAAGAAAGGTAAGAAAAAATGGGTTATGTCTTATAATATCATATGGCTTTTGAATTTCCGAGTTTGAATGCTATCAAATTCTTACATTTGTTTCCTGAGAAACAATCAAATGGGTGATTGATTCTCGAGCCAGAGCAATGTGTTTGTTTTTTTTTTTTTTTTTATAATAGAATGATATGAATAGTTGACGATTGATACGACTCACTTGATAATAATTCTCTCTTCTTTAGGACGTAAGTTCATTTTATTCATCTTTTTAGCAGATCAATTTCTTGTTGATATGCTATTGACATGTTGCAAGAATGTCTCTTTTATGGAAAGTTTGAATGTCCATTGCTTAGGATCATAATTTTTGAAAATCAATGAAGGAGGGTTAATTGGCGGCAAAGTACAAATTGAATTGTTTGTTAATATTATATACCCAAGTCCCCTATTAATTATCTTTGTAATGGAGTGGGTACAGTAGCTTGCAATTTGTCCGATCCTTTGTCTTTTCTCTTGTTAGCCATTTTGTCCTCGTTCACTTATCGATAACTTGGTGATAAATTGATCTTTTTGGTGCCCACTCAGGATTTTGTTTTCTAGCTCTGTTTGAATTTATAAACAACTCTTCAATTCAGTGTTTCTTGTTATTTACCACTGCACTTCAGCATTTGACTGGATCTTCTTCGTGCATCTCTTTCATCCAACTGTAATTGGTATTATAGAAGCCCACCATTTTTCTATTTAAATTAAGTTCTTGTAATGACAAACTACGTAGGAAAAAGTTGGAAGATAATGGTCTACCATCTTCCACTTCCATCACCACTGAAACCCGAATTGCATGTTGGTGAGAGCAACCAACATTGGATTCCTCAATTTTGGTACAGAAAATCAATTTACTTGATAGCTAATCATCTAAACTCCAGTAAAGTGATGTCACAAAATCACTATCGAGTTAATTTGTGATGTCTATGTCTTTCATGGACTCATCTACCTGTGTGCGAATGACCCCTTTCCTTTTTTCTTTTTTTTTTCAGTTTGTCTTTTGTTTCTGTCTTTTTTTTTTTTTTTTTCTTTTTGAGGTATAAAACATGGTGTCTTTTGCACTTGCTGAAGACATATCTATGTTCCATAGTTGCCAAATTCCTTTTGGAAGAGGATGAGTTGGTGTGAAGCATGTGAACCTGTTGGCCTCTGAACTCAATTTCCACCTATTAGAAATCATTCTATAGTTTCTCTGACATAATTGTTTAAAAAAAATAAAATAATACTGTTTCATCAAGTAAAGAGTGATGACTTGAATGGTAATGATGATTTACGTTTTACATTCAAATTTGCTTGCTAGGCACCGTTAACCTTTTCCCTGACCCTTTTCTTCATTTTAGATTACCAACTTGGTGGATTGTTTAATTTTGGCACTTTCAAAGGGACATCCAGATTGCTAAAGAGCACTTTAGTGGGTTTCCCATGTATGTTGATTGCCGATGTTTTTATTTTTTTTATTTTTTGATGTGTGTGTGTGTGTGTTGCAGGATGTACAGTATGAATCTATTGAATCATTGTGCCATTTGAAGCATTTTGTATCGAGGTAAATTCTAACAGTCTTCTTAAAAATCTTTACGAAATCATATAATGTCGACATACTGTAACTAATTAAACAGCAACAAATGTTTGTTGTTTCAGAAGGGAGTCCCCATGGAAGGTGGATGGTGAGTCAACAGGTGTCTCCTCTAAACTAGAGTTACTTGAGCATGAACTGATGAATTTGGAAAGAATTGGTAAAGGTGATCAATCAAAGGTACCACCATCAGAGGTGAGAAAAAAAGCAAAGAGATATCAAGCTCTTTCACGGAAGATTGATGATCTATGCAAAAGAGTGGTAATGCATAACAAGTTAACAGCCTCTTTTTTTGCAGCTTTATGCTTTTATATAATGTATTTCATCCTCAAGTAGTTTAGGAACCTTATCATTTTACTTCACTATATCACAACATAAAACTTTTTTGTCAAATGCGACAGTAGCTATAATATGTGATGTGACAGGCTGTCAAAGTAGGCCGGTTAACACCCATAATTTTAAGAAAGAACGAACTATATCCCACATTCACAGATAAGCATATAAGCTGTATCCACACTTCTCTAGACAAGCATATGAGCTGTATCTACGGAGTTCATCCCCTATCTTCTGGGGCTTATTTGCAGGATTCGTGCAACCAGGTGACGAATCTTCGTAAAAAGCGCGATTCCGCGTTTCGTAGAAAGAAATGTGTAAGAATCGCGTTTCTGTAGAGAGAGAAACATGATCCTGTCCAAGATGGGATCGTTGGTGGAAAAGAAAAGCAAAACAGAGAGATACACCCTAACTCGCTGAATACGCAGAAAAAAACCCTAACTCGAATACAAAGAGATAAAAACCCTAACTAATTGAATATATATATATATATATAGAGAGAGAGAGAGACAGAGAGAGAAAAATAGAAGAGAAAGAGTGAAGAAGAACCTGTTGAAGCCCTAATTTGTTATTCTTCTTCGTTCTTTATTTTTCTTCTTCTTCTGTTCATCTCTCTCCATGAGTCTGCGCAATCGTCTCTCTCTCGCTTTCGACTTTGTCTCTCGCTTGTGTTGAACTCATCGACTCTGCGCGATGGTCTCTCTCTCTTCTTTTTGAGCAATCGTCTCTCTCTTTCTCTCTCCTCTGTTCTATTCGTTTGATGTCCCTAATTCCTTATTATATATATATATATTAACAAAAAAAAACCTTTTTTTTTTCCTTTCCTCTTTTTCTTTTTTTTTCTATTTTTTTGAATATTCTTATTTTCTCAACTTAAACATACGTAAAATAAATTATTTTTTTTGTAACAAAAAATAATTTGTAAACAAAATTTGATGTCAAAGTAAACAAATAAAACTTAAAAATAAATAAATAAATAAATAATATATATATGTTTTTAATTTTACATATAACAAATAAAGTTATATATTGTCAAGTCTTTTTATTTGATTAGATGATTAAGAATTAATGATATTTTGTATTAGTGATGAATTTTCTTATGGGATTATATTATATTTTTGTGTAGCAATGTAAGTCATCAAATTTAATATATTTAAATAAAGCCAGTCCAAAATTTTTGAATTAATTTTGTTTATATATGCATAATATACATATATATATATATATCTAAGCGCTCCTTGAGGCGCTCCCAACCGAAGAAACTTCTATCGGCTCATGCTCTCCCGCTCCTGCTCCCGCTCCCGCCTCCGCCCCCGCTTCGTGCAACTAAGGTTCCTCTGTTTCACTCGTACAATCATCCAGTTGTCATAATTCGTGGTCCTTTAGTTTCTGTCTCATTGTCGTGGGCATTGTGACCTGTCTATTTTAGTAATATTGATTTATAATGACGAATGTTAGTGACAATGTTTGTCTTGCTTGATATAGCAAACAAGTGATCCACGTGAACCCACACTGAGCTCGGAGTTTCGAGCACAAAGGCAAACAGAGTTTTTGCTTGAAGCATTTCGTCTCCAGCAGCATGCATCTGAAACTGGACAAAAGCTGATGGCATTGAAAACTGAGACGGGAAAGAGCGATTTTGGGGATGAGCTTGAAGGTCACACCAAACTGACTACACAGCGGTGCTTGGACTCAATTAAAAACAACTTCAAAGAAATCCAGAGGAACTTGGAGATATGGTTGGCTAGAATCATTGGAGATCTTCAAGGGATTCAAGCTAGAGATGGCGCCTCTCGAGTAAGGGAATATTATATATCCAGATATCCTTCTGTTCAATAGAGAAATCATGACTCAACTATGAATCCTGATCTAGCAAATATATGTATTCCTTTTTTAGTGAATTACTAACACAACTGGAGCTTAGAAGGGAAAAAAAAAAATGTTGTAGAATAGAGACATCAATGAAGAACTCGTGTAAATGTTCTGTTCTAAATAAATTTCGTATGGAAAAAGATGTGTATATCACCGAGTCATATGATTGAATTAGCGGCCATGGAGCTCACTGATCCAACATGGTATGATATGGTGGAAATCTAACTTCTTTAGAAGTTCTTTTTAAGGTGTTTGTTATTAGCTTATCGGCTGAGAGAAATTTATCTGTACACTTTACATAGTAACACCCAAACTTGGCCATGGTTATTTGCAATTCCATGAATGCCTTTATTTCATCACTTTCTAATAAACTTTTTTCAAATAGTTTCTTGTTTTAGCACTTAATCGATACACATACGTATCTCTGTACAAACATTATTTAATAAGTAAAATAAACCCTAATGCTGTGTTTGGTTGGAAGATTTAGGGAGGAATTTGGAAAGGAAAAGGGGAAAGGTGTGTGAAACTATGTAAAATGTAAGTATATTTTTTTCACATTTTACTTATCTTTTCCATTTCACTTTCCAAATCCCAGCTCAAATCCCTCAATCAAACACAGTATAACAGAACTTAATCCTGAAGCTTAGGGCTTGTAATTGATATCAGTACTTTGGCCATATATATTTCAGAGTAATTTATGGATACCATTAATGCCACATCAAAATATCAGGAGAAATTCTATTTTCACACATCAAATCTTCTCTATGTACATTATTTCTAAGCGCACACACAATGAATTTGAAATCTTATTTTTTACTCAATACACAACTTTATTATACCAAAAATGCCCTCATCTTCCTCCTTCATACCACTATTATCACCAATCTCTGTACCTTTAGCTGTCCCAAACCACCACCTTCGACTACCGTCGCAGCCTGATACATATTGCTAACGACTGATAACAGTCCCGACCACCATTACAGACAGAGAAAAGATTTAGAAAATCCAGGTCTAGGGTTTAAAGATAAGAAGAAGAAGAGATGAAAGAGGAGGTTAGCTATGGCAGTTGCGGTGGCTGCGCGGGTTGATATGAGGTAGGAAAGATGATGCAAAGGGTTCTGGTGTGAGGGCAGCCGATCGAGATCGCAACCGAGAATAGTGTGATCCCAACGATGACAAGCAGCGGGAGTTGGAGAAAAACACTAGAGAAGGTTGTCGAAGGAGGAAGAAGATTGGGGAGGAATTGCGGTGGTAGCGGTAACAGTGGTGTGTGGTGATGTTGGGGTTAGGACGACGGTGGCTGGATTGCTGTTGGCGGTGGATATGGTGGTTAATGGAGGTGACAAAAAGGAAGGGAAGCTGTGGGAGGGCGGCGACCGGAGGTGAGGAGCTGGGGAGAAAGCAGCGATGAGACTTAGGGTTTATGTTGGAAAGAAAATGGTATTTTGATATTTTTATTTTAGGACAAAAATGTAATATAAAAAAGATTCATTAAGTGTGTGGGTTGAGATAATTTGATGTATGGAAATAGAATTTCCCAAATATCAGTGCCACTCTTCTCTTATAGGATTTGGGTATTTGGGTCTTTTTACACCCTTAGACCATGTTTGATTCCAGGATATAAAGAGTGGGATTGGATATTATATCCTGTGGGGTCCACATATCCCATGTTTGTAATTTTTTTTCAAAGAGGATATAATATCCCATGGGATTGTATATCCTCCAAAAGTGAAGGATATACAATACCACCCCCCCCCCATTATATCATATTCCCTTGGTTGGGATATGATTTAAAAAGTCCAATTTACCCTTTTGTCTATATAACATAATATAATTTAATATATTTTTTGAATTTAATATAATATAATCATTGAATTGAATTTAATATTGTTGAATTTAATATAACATAAATATTATTGAATTGAATTTAATATAATATAATATTATTTAATTTAATTTAATTTAATATAATATAATTTAATACAAATTTTGAATTTAATATAATATAATTAAATACAAATTTTGAATTTAATATTATATAATTTAATATGAATTTTGAATATAATATAATATAACATAATATTCTGAGGGCAATCTTGAAAATTACTCGTTTATATTCCACAATATATTTTGTAAAACAAACATGGATAATATATATCCAATCTTATATATCAAGTCAACAAACATGAATTGGGGGATATATTATTCAATACCTATATCCTATTCATTATATATCTTGATTAAATCTTACATCATATTATATCCTTCATTTTATATCCAGTGAAACAAACAGAGCCTTAGAAAAATTTTAGTGTGACATTATGGTTCTGTGAAATGTTTCTAGAAAGAAATTGTGCGATCAAACGGCATTCCAAAAGAATCAGTTTGTGAGTTCTAAAATCGGGGAAATTGAGAGCAAAAAATCATGGATTTTAGTTGCATACTAGACCACTTAAAAAAAAAATAAAAATAAAAACAAAGTGAAAAAGAGGAGTACAAGCTGTTAGATTGTTGGACAAACTTCACTGTATTTAAATTAATTAAATTCTGTTGTGTACTAAACAACAA